TCCCATGCGACCAGTGATGGAGTGGCAACACGCGACCATGTCCTGCTGCCCTGTCCCCTCCCCCTGCCGCCACCCACCCAGTGCCACAGCAGCATGACGACGCAGCACACCTGTGGCGTGCCAACACTCTAAGCCGCCGAAAGCACCCAGAGGGCTAAAAGCCGACGGCCTCCTCTTCTTCAAGTCTTGGGCCTCCTCTCTTCTTGGGCCGACAAGAGCACCAGGAGCCCAAGTGCTTTTGCCCTTTTTCCTCCCGTGGTGGTGGGCCGGTCACAAGCCAACCCAACCCACTCTTGTTGTAGCTTGTGGCTAAACATGGCAGCCCCTCTAGCTACCATGGCCACCAGCAGAGGAGAAGAACCCAACTCAAAGCCCCCCTTTCCATCCTTTTTTCGATTTTTCAAAAATTCTTGGCCACATTTGGAAATTCGCCAAAATTTCATCTTAGCTTCCTAAAATTATGAAACCAGTTTCATAATTTTTCTAAAATCAAGCCCTACGTCATGGACCCGTCCTTGAGTATTTCTCGACCCTCCAAATGGTAAGCCATCACAATGCTTGCGCTTCACTCACTCACGTTCAGCATAAGACTCACAGACTAACTTTGGATTGCCACCACGGGACCCTAGCACCTGACGGCCGTGATATATGCCTAAGCCAAAGACTCGACGCTCGTAGCCAACCCTTGGCCACCTGTAGCCATGACCGGCCAACCATGACCCACCGTAGCCCCATGAGACTGGATAATTAAAGCCGTACCAAGCCATAGTGGGCCATTGTTGGCCAGATGCAAACCGTGACCCTCTAGGGCAAGCCATGTTACCCTCTGAACCTTCAGATGACCAAATCATAGTCGATGTTTTATTGAGACCTTGGAAAGCCCGTCTACTACCTTTCCGTATATGCGTAACTACCTTGTTGGACTATATTCTTACGACCTGTCTGTATGTCTGCCATACAGGAACTCCATCCATCTCTAAGCTATGGAATTGTGCTACTCCAGTCGTGTCGAGTCGTGTTGTCTTTTGATCGTGTGCTTGGTTCTTATCGATAGTTGTCTGTGTTGCCTGAGGACCGTGCCTTCGCACTAGTTGAGGGATCGTACCTCGTTCAACCATTTCGGTTGTGGGATCGCTCCACCATGGCCGTAATGGCGAGCGTAACTCATACCCTCGCTTTTGTTGTCTCCGACATACTACAATTATTAGTAATCCGATTCGGCCCTAGGACTTGGTCATGGTGGACTAAACATTGGTGCGGATATCACCCGCACACAATGAGCCTTTTATGGCCTAACTTAGTGGACGAGTCAGGATATGATGATTGTAGATGACGGATGCCAATTCGTGTAGGATAAGCTCATGGCCGCGAGTCCCCTCGCCATGACCATCGGGCTCTACCTCTTTTCACCTGTGTTTATCCTAGCCACCTTATATGATTGCACCACCTTGACCACAGCATTCCTTCGGATCTAAGCGGTGACAACCGCACTGCTACGAACCGAGGGAATAACAATGTGCCAATAGTTGCATGGCCGTGATGCCCTATGAATTGGTTGGATCGTGGGACTGTATCTCTTCTCTCCAATCTTCGTCCGTTCCATGACAAGTTGGTCGAAAGAGTACAGATCCCATTCTTCTCTCTCTTTGGTTCTCAATCCTCGTCAATCCAGTAAGATGTGGATTGAGCCCCTTGCTTGTTTGGGGTTTATTGCGCTCTTGATTCCATTCCTTGATTCTCGCCGGCTTCTAGGGCGAGTGGATCAAAGGAAGGCGAATCTCGTGTTCTTCTCTTTTGGTTCTGCGTGCTCAAACCCCGTATGCTTATACCATCACATGACCATCGCATTTCTTTGATTCCCACGGTGACAACCGCATCGCTATGAATTAGAGAGATGTCTTAGTGCCCAAGGCACCTAAGTCGGGTACCCTACGAGTGGTTTGCGACTTGGTGTTTTTGTCGCTTCCTTCCAATACCCGTCTTTCGTCGTGGCGCGAGTGTTGGAAGAAGTAGACCTTGTCCCTCGGTTGTTCTTGCTCTTGTTGCACCGTTAGCCCGCTTATTTCAATGTTCGACTCCATCTTGCCCATGACGATTGGATCAAAGACCGGACTTATTCCCTTTGGGTTAGCAAAGCTATGGTCTAAGTCGTCAAGTACTTCGGACCCGTGGTGTGTCGACTTGATCGACCGCCTAAAACCATCTTTCCCTCATTTAAGATGTGTCTGAGAACATGACATGGATGTGCCTAGCTAACCCCGCATCTTTTGCCGTGTTGAGCGACTCTCTCCTCGGCTCCTGACGTTGATGTGTCGTGTGGATCGAGAGGACCCGTCGCTGTCCAACCTCTTTGCGCTACCACTTCCTACCATAGCGGGTGAGCCAAAGTACATTGGAGCCAAGTCACAATAGTGTTATTCATTCTTGATTACTTCGTGTCCAATTGTGACTTGCGGGATAAGGCTATAAGAGCTAAACCCACGTTCTTCCTCCGTTGGGCTGCCTTCCGATTCTCGCCATCTCCATGACGCTTCGTAGAGGAGACGGCAATGTGTGATGTTTGCTATGAATGAGCTCGCTTAAACCATTTATCGTAAAGCCGTCTTGGCTTGGCCATGGCATAAGCTTGTGCATAAGCAAACCATCACTTGTGTTTCTTGACCCAAGGAAATCGGACAACCACTTAAGAGGGCTAAGCTTGTGAATCTTTTAGTGTGCCATTGGTGTTATTGGATCTTCCTGCGTCTCAGTCGCTTTTTCGAGTGTTGTGTGTTCTCTAGCTTTGCGTGTATCAAGCCGCTTTGTATGGCGTAGCTAGCGATCGGATCAAGAGAACGGGAACGACAACAAGGATTGTAGACTGGAGTCGACCGGAGGAGAGACGACTTATGATTGAACACCAAATCACAGATGGAGAATTAAACCACTATTACCTCTACATCATAGAAAGTCATGGCAAATTAACAAACTTGAGAACCTCTTTTAGAGAATCCTATTAGACATTGCATAATATCTAGAATCGCTAGCGCTTTATAATTATTCCTTTGCTTGTACTTTGATGCATGCTACTACTTGAGCCATTATTACTTCCACTTGAACCATTTCGATGCAGCCCACTCTACCACTTCACCAAGCCTATAGCTTTGTGCATTCGGCCTTATATATGCTTACTTGCTACCCAGCTTGCTTGCATATTACACCACTATACTTATTATTAACTCCACTTCACATTATATCGGGGATGTGATGTTGGTGGTGAACCCCCTAGGAATGAATGGGTCCTTCTGGAGGCTTTGGCTATGGGTGCTTGGACTTGGTGGTGTGTGAGCGTGAGGCACTTGTGTCTTGGGTGCGAGAGTGAGGGTTGTGTCGACCAAAATGGAATAACGATGAGCCGAGCGGGCGAGTCTTGCTGGCCGTTCAGGCTGGCGAGTGGTGCTACTGGCCTTTTTTCAATTTATATATGGAATACCTGTCATTTTGAGCAAGAAAATGGTATTTGGAGGTGTACCAAAATGAAAATTGATTAGAATATAATTCTCTACAACTTTGTTTGAACCAAAGCCAAATTGATGGGAGTAAATCTTAGCCAAAACCCTAATTTGGAGGTGTTTTGGTTTGGCATAATAAATGGAAACCTTGATGAAGACATTGTGCTAAACAGTCACCCCATGATAGGACTTACTTTAGTACTTAGATTCACCGAAATCCTTTTACATCCCATTGACGCTTTCACGCCATGTTTCATATGTTTCTATATGGTTTCGGTATGATTAGGATGCTTGATGATGCACGACTACTTGGTAGAGCGATGCCATAACACCTTAGCCTAGGTGAACGTGGTGGCACAAAGAAGGAGGAAGACAGGCTTGGTCACCCCTAAGGACTTACTAGTACTCAGATTCATCGAAAATCCTTTACATCCCACACCCTTCCAAGACTTCAGGAGGCCTTGTGCTACCGTGTGCAAGGAGAGTGCGGCTCTTGACATCCTTCCAAGACTTCAGAGGCCTTGTGGACCCGGCTCTTGACATCCGCTCCGGCTCGCTCTCGACTCACGAGATCAACCATCCTAGACTAGACTTGGGATGTTCCAGGGCTGAGAGGTAGGGTGGCATCGTTCTAGGCTAGAAAGCGACCGAAATTCTGTCTAGGAGATTCTAGACTCTAAGGATGGCTAATCTTGTGGGTATGTAAAACATCTGCATAGTGTATGGTTGATCGATCGATACATATGCCGACTTATCGGCTATGGACCTTTCCTGGATTTCGCTTAAACTAGATAGGAGATGAGTCCTTCCATTCTCCCTCTAGGGTTGGGGTATTTTCCGATCGTGAGTCTTGGGGCTGCGGGCCGTTGAGACAAGGCCGAGAGGGAGTTGGCCTGTCGACCTGAGTGTGTGAGATGAGATAAGGTGTGGTGGTGTGGAGATGGTTTGGGATGGATGGTTGGTGGATGGATATGGCTGGATGTGGATGTGTGGATGCGAATGTGTTAAAAACTGGATATTATTATTACATTACTACTGTTACTTACTTCTCATGCGCTAAGGATGCAAACCACAGCCAAATGTTAGGATCACCAGGTCCTCTTGTTTTATCTTTTTCACTAAAGCTCATCGGTGCTGACCATGGCCTGCACATATCTGGCGGTGTGCAGATTTTCCTGCTTCTCAAAGATGCTGACTTTAGAAGGATTAGGAGGTCTCGTGCCTACACTCAAGTTTGGTTCGGAGAAGGAATCTACGCTGCACTATGCCAACTCTGATGATGCTCGTGAAGGAGGAGCCTTCACTCGATAGTCTTCCGCTAGATTAACTCTGTAATAGATGTGTTTCTCCAGTGATATAATATCTTGTATTCTTGTAATCTTACGATGTATGACTATGATATCGACTGATATATAATAATATGATGGAATTAATTATTGGTTTCATCTTATTATAATTCATTCCGTGGATTTTCTCTTCCTTTAAAATTGAGGATGTTTCACTCCCCCGATGCCATCGGTCGTCACGCTCTTCGAGGCCTTGGAGTCCCTGGAGCCCGCCTTCGACGACTACGTCTCAGGCCTCCGCGGACAGAGCGGCGACGAGGCGGACATCTGCATCGTCGCTGACGTGTTCGTCGCGTGGACGGTGGACGTCGCGCGGCCGCACGGGTGCGCGCACGCGGTCTTCGTCTCCTGCGGCGCGTTCGGGACGGCCATCGTTCACGCCCTGTGGAGCCACATGCCGGCGCTGCCCTTCGGCTCCGACGGCTTGCTCCGCCTGCCAGAGTACCCGGACGTGGTGCTCCACCGGTCGCAGCTGTCGCCCGTCTTCCTCCTCCACGCTGGCTTGCGCGACCGGTGGACGGCGTTCTACCAGCGGGCCAAACGGCACGGGTATCGCACGGACGCGGTGCTCGCCAACACCGTAGAGGAGTTCGAGAGCACGGGGCTGACAATGATGCGCCGTGCTGCCGGCAAGATTATGAGACTGGAAATAAACGCGCCCAAGTTAACTTTTAGTGATATGGAGAAATTTCGTATCTTTCACAAGCAAGCTCATATCTTGACGTTGCAGTAGCTAATTGCATCAAAGCAGAAAGAAAAACATAGATGGATTACAGGTGAAACAGTCATGGCTTGACGTTGCAGTAGCTAATTAAGTACATCACAGCAGAAACAAAAACACAGATGGATTACACGGGAAACAGTCTGGAGTGCCGAGTCTGGACTTAAGCAGAACATGAGTTCACCAATTGCCCGAACAGGGGATGGACAAGCCATGGATATCAAGCTAGTCGCTCTAAACTAAAATCACTTCTACCACCATACTGCAAAAGCTAAGCTTGCACCAACAGCATCAACTGCTTGACAAATTTCATTTTGCGCGAATGATATGCACATTCATCGTGTACTTCGTGTTTTCAAGTAGCTCAAAGAGGCAGAGATCTCCCACCTGCAACTTGTTGTCACGAGCAAACTGTTTCCACCCTTGCGCAAGACTTTTGCCTCTGAGTCCGCCCTTATGAGGTATACAACGCACGTCCCAACTCTCGCCACAGCATTGAAGCATCAGTGTTTGGTTCTCAAATGGTAGATATACATCAGCATATACTCTTGGTATGCCCTGATTGCAATAGGAAAGTGTAAAAGTCAACTGAGAAATAGCTCAAGCTGGAAGTACTTGCATCAAGATTGTAAATTTCTTCAAGGAAATTTGTTTAGAGCTAGTAGTACTTCAAATTAAAGATTCAAAAATTGAATCTTAAAATTAGATATTCTTTCTACTTGGTTTTCTGATTTTATTCACTAATGTCATATTGACCTGGCCAAGAAAAAATGGGAGAAGGCTTAGGTGGTTTATTTTATTTTATTTTTTTGCTTTGCTTGCAAGGGATTTGCTGGGCTATGGCTTTGTAGGAAAAAGATGGTGATTGGCTGATTGCTAAGAAGTCCAATTCTCCTCCCACTGGTACTTCAGTTCCCCTATCCCTGTTTCTGAAATCGTAGCTCGCTCCCTCATAAAGCTGGGAAACGCCTGTTCTACAACAACATGCTTTCAAAATGAAGCATAATTGCAGTAGAATATCAATCCAAGAACAAAGTTTCCAAGCTCACCATAGCCTGAGATCCCCTACGAAGATTGCTCTTCTTCACGATGCATCCGTAGATGGGGATAGTAGAAGTACTAGTTCGGACTCTCTCTTTCAGTTTCTTCATCTGCACACAGGTGAGATAGGTTCCCTTTGGGAGGATGTAACCTGGAACATAATGTGATTTCTGGTCTTCTGGAGATACAGAATCTCCTACATAGAAACAAAGAGAAAGAAATGTGAGGTCATGATCTGTAAAGTAAATCCTACTCAAGTTGGTTCAATTCAACATAGTGACTCATAACCTGATGAGTCGGATGGGGAGGTTGATGAACTAGCAGTGACATTCAAGGGAAGATCTCCACAACTGCTTGAAATTTCAATGTGCATTTTCCTTGTTTCTCTGCCACAGGTATGATTTCTCTTGACAAGGCATGGAGGCACTTTCTCGCAACAACTAAGATCAAATATGAAAACCTTCAATCGAGAAGTCCCGTCGTACTTGAAAACCAAGAAGTCCCCCATGTTCAAGTCATGGGCAGTAACAAACTCCTTCCATCCCGTTTGAAGGACTACTTTGCCCAGATTCTTAGCTACTTCAACATCAAAAGTGTGTCCACAGCGTGATTCTATCTTAACACTGTTCGCTATTAGCCTTCTGAAATGTTGCATGAATTTATCAGGTATGGCCTGCAGCAATAAAATGGAACAAGCTCTTATATATCTCTCTTCAATGCAAGAAGTTGGCTGATACTGACATCAAAACAGATACGGAGTAGTACTTTAGTTGCCCACATCTAGTATTAATATGTCCAACATGTTCAAGAACCGGGCCAATAAATATTCTCAGGTTGCACAAGCATTCCTGTCAAAATCTAGTATTTATTACAAATGAACAATATTCTAGCATATATAGCTTCAGAACAATAATACGGCACAAATTATCTATAAGAGACCAAATCTTTGCATTCAGGTTTCTTCCGGGACTAGGGACTTAGTTTTGGAGCAGATGAACAAAGATGGGAGATGATGGAATTGCTAACACAATGTTCCCACTTCTGACCAGGCAGAGAAGAACAGTTCCCAGGAAGACAGTGGACGGACTTGAAAACTTACCAATCGTTCACGAAAATCACCGACCAGAACCTTGAAGAAATACTTGTCCTTCTCATCCTTGTGATCCGGATAGAAATATGCATTGCTCTCCCTGCTTCTCTTACTAGGCTTCCTCATCTCTACCATACCGAAGCATGCCGAGGACATGCCAGAGAACAGAACGAAAGAAGTTGGAGAAGTACTACTTAATCGCAAGCTACGGAAGATGAAACTTTTTTTTCGAAAATTGCTGGCAGGATTATGCCAGACAAATATATTGACAGAGAAGAGAAAACAGTCAAAGTACAAGAGAAAAGTCCAAAAAATCAAACCAATACGCCCAAACGAGGGATTTAGGCCCTCAAGGCAAAAGAGGCAAATGGCCTAATCCATAGGCAAAATTTCTCGTAATCGCTTGGCTCCGCACTACACCATAGTCGAGCCTCTTCCTTGATCTTTGCAATATTTTACGGAAGATGAAACTGATGAATGATAATCTTGGATCATCTTGGGAAACCCAAGCTACGGAAGGAAGAAATATGGAGTACCTGCAGCTTCCTCTGATGCCAAGCCCAAGCTTTGATGAATGATGATCACTAACACGCGCCTTTCAACCGTAAAAGAGACCAGCCTTGAATCAACTGATGGAAGAACCGAGAACGGAGACGCCAAGGGGGGTTTATGTCTCTTAGCCCTCTGAACTTGTGGAGCTTCCTGATTGGTTGCTCCTGCACTAGATCTCTACTCTAGTGTGTGCATTTATGTTCCTGCTCTACTGGACCTATACTCTGCTAATTGTTTTAACTCTCAAAGCGGGGGTACAGACGTGCAGCACACTGCGATCCAAGTTTTACACGCAAAGACGCATGAATACGTCACCGGCCCAACTGTTGGTTCTTTGACTCTTGGTCTCTTAATCATGAGCCAGTGGCAAGCAATTTAGGCTTCGTCAATTTTTTTTTTGAAAGATGGCAAGAAGCCCCTACCGGTTAATGTATATTAAAAAGACAATTTTTATTATGGTCGGGAAAAATAAGACGGCGGGTGAGGAGCGATCCTAGAAAAACAGAGGCATCAAGAAGCACTGAGGGAGAAAGCACTAGGTGCTTACTAAATTGGTGGGACCATAGGCACCAGCAGCATGCTAGATTGGCGGGACCAGTATAAAAAAGTTATTTATTTTTTTTGAATTTTTATGTAATTAAGGGTAAAATGGTAAATTTATAATAGAAGGATATTGTTTTGAGTAGTATAGTGGGGTGGATGATTGAATTACTAGATGAATATCTTCTTCTTCTGACACCGGTAGTTCATTCTAGCTCCAGCACTCGACAATCGATGTCATGGCGATAGCTCCGCCCACACCCACCCCGGAGTTTTCTCGGCTCATGGTGATAGTATCTCACGAGCCCTATTGGTTATCAATACCAACCTTTCAGTTACATAAGCTGGTCCCATGAAGTCCCACAGTGTGTGAGGAGACTTACGAAGAAAGGATTGGTAGAGGCGTCTTTCGACTGGCGAGGGCATGCAGACTTATTGAAGAATTCCTCACTAGTCCCTAGCGAACGGCGGGACCACGTAGATCCGGTGAAGGGTTTCGCTCTCCACCATCACTGAACAGACCAGCGAATAGGGATGGCGGCCACGCAGCACCTCAGATACAACCTCCCCTCCCCATCTTTCCACGCCAATCTTGCAGCCTCCAAATCTGTGGCCGTTGCCTAGGTCCTTGCTCCCCGACTCCTTCTTGTGGTTCAAACAAACCAACTTTATCATTTTCGATTGGCCTTGGACTGGATCTATGGAGGCAGCGATGGTTGATGCTAAACTGCTGGTGATCAATGTGGGTGAAGAGGGCGTCGCAGCGGAGGCCGAGGGTCCGGTTGAAGAGGATGGACTTCCACGATAGTGATGGAGCCCGTCCGGGGATCCTGATGAAGACGAATGTGGTGTAGGAGGAGACTACGGGTGATGGGCGAGGACGATGGGGCGTGCCTTATAGATCTTAGACTCTTATCACACCGTTCTGTCTCCCGATGGTAGTGGCGGTGGTGGTAGGTTTGATTTGCTATCTAGGACTTTGGGATGCGCCTTGATACCGGCTAAACCTGGGATTGACAATCATTCGAGCTAGGCTCATCTTTCAAACGCGAACTAAGCTACTTGGTTCTAAACTTTTCTTTGCGATATTCTTTACACCTTTGGGCAAATGTGATGTGTTCCACCTTCCTCTCCCGGCAAATGCGGGCGAGAAATTTAGCATTGCTTATGGAGGGTTCTGATATTAATGCAAGGAAACAACCAAAGGCTGCTGGGAATTAGTGTGCCAGGTGATGGCGGGTAGGCGCTATTGCGGTGGTGGGGTGAGGACGTACCCAAATGGCAAGCTCCCTAATCATACCATGAAGGCCTTCCGGTGGAGGGAGAATTTAAGGTGACGACAAGAATCGACAAGAATAGGGACGGCCTTCTATGGCGGTGTGATGAAGAAGACTTTCGAAAGGTGGGGTGGGGCAAGGCTATGCTCAACAACATTAGTTGGGCGCGAAGGAACAAATCCTTCAGGTGGGCTATCGAAAGGTGACTCCTTCAAAGATCGGTGGGCGTGGCGGGGGGGGACGGGGGTTAGGGCTGCAAATATAGGTTCACTTTTTATCGATCGAGTTGTTTCAATGAATATATCCATCTGATGAAGCTAACTAGTGTGGCGGCTTGTACAACTTTGTTTTTAGTCATTATTTATTTGGTGTACCTGAGAATTGTTCTTCATTAATTACTTGGAGTTAGAATTTTTTCATATTATGTAAGGCTAAGCCATCCCTTTGTCACTTATGAATATTATATATGCTTTGTATATCGCTGTAGTTCCAGACTAGGACATTAGTTTATTGTCATATGTCATTGTTATTCTTTGTTCTATTATATATCTCGGTTTTTAAGGCATATACATGTTGGACCTATGTACGGGCAGGGTCAGATTGTGCATGGGTTTTGTATTTTGTGTTAGCACTTAATCAAGTTTGCCTCTATTGGATCAATCCAATAGTTCTATGCTTTCCATCTGGTGTTGGTTTTCTAAAAAAAAAAAATCTTTGATACACCACAAAGTTATGCCGTCTTTTAATTCGCGGGAACATCAGTTGTTATTCTAGGAATGTTGGGCAAGGGTCATTGGCAACGCACATGCATTCACCTAGTAAAAATAAAATATTATAAACGTTTGGACACATATCTATATTATCTGGCCCATAATTAAGTGCCATTAGTGTCTAATCTAGTCCAATGTTTTAAGTTTTCCCAAGTTACATCTTTCTTTGCTCCAAACACGTCTTCTTATATTTTTCATATGTTTTTCCTATTCTATTCCTATGTTTCTTTCTATTCCTCTATTTTATAGTCCTGTATTTTAAATAGGACCTAATTTTGTAACCTCTATGCCACTACCGTCTAGTGTAGCTAACGAATGGATGAAAGACTATTTTGTCATTGGTCAATGGTAGTCAACGGCCTCTTCTCTCCTGTCCTCCTCTAATTTAATTATTTATATCGGGGATGGAGGGCGTAGTGTATGTCGTCGGACAGGCGTCGCGCGCGTATCGCTGGAACTTGGAAGCACCCACCACTCACGCCAGGCGTAGTGTGGGTGACGACGGGGGAGTGGCGCAGCGCGGGCGGGCCGGCGCATGATGAAATTTTTATATTTCGGTCCCTTTTGAAAATATTTTTTATAAAAAGACCTACGCCAAAACGTTTGCTGAAAATAGGCTATTTTTAGGCGTCTTAGGACATGACGCCGAGGTATGAGGGTCGGCGCTGTACGACATTAGCGCCATAGGTCTTGCCTACGCGGTTTTTAAGGCATATACCCCGGTCGATGTACGGCGACAGTGGCGCGCATAGGGCCCAATCACGTTTGCCGTCGTGTCGCCAACGCCATAGGCCCAACCTCGCCTTTTAATTCAAGGGCGTTACCTGGGAATTTGCCGCAATCCCACCTAGTAAAAAATGATAAACGGGCATGCACTACCTCCGGTCTCTTAGCTCAATTGTCTCCGGCACCCGCAGACATCTTAACATGCCATGTCTCCATCACTAGTGGAATGAAACCGATCGAGTCCTGCATGCATGCTTCTCCGATCTCATGAATCGTGATGCGTGGTGGGGTCATTGGTCAATGGTAGTCGAACCTCGGCGTTGAGTCGGGCCTACGCCGAGGTTAGCGTCTCGCGGCCATCTATTGGGCCAAGTTGTTGGACCGGCGTCGCGCGCGTATGGCTGGAACTTGGTGATAGCTCGGCGTGACTCCAGGCGTAATTTAGGCTCGTGGCGTTGGTCGACACGACGGCCGACGACTTCACCGGTGATTTATTAGTCGACGGGTCGTCCGTGACGTTATAAGACCTCGGCGTAGATAACACTGTCGATTATTTCATACTTGTCCTAAGACGCCTAAAATGATCTATTTTCGTAAACGTTTTATAAGCGATCTTTTGTAAAAATGTTTTTTCAAAAGGGACCAAAATACAAAAATTTCACCCGGCGCATGTGAGTGAGGCAGCGAGAGACATGCAAAATCGTTTTTTAAAAGATGA